CCGGGCGAGGGACTAAATCTGAACTTATTTGGTCTCGGCTCTGGAGACCAGACATGTGTGAAGTCATGGGTCGTGACCTGGACAGTTCTGCTGTGATGAATGCCTAGTCGATAAGGGCAGTTCGTGAGTTTTCGTTCCGGAACAGTCTCAAGTAAGTCATCCAAAAGAGGTATATTTTCAATCTTGCAGACCTTTGGTAACCTGCGACCACAGTTGTGACTTCGTGTGACATTCTGGCTGAATGGCTCTGGCTTCGGTGAATTTTTTGCTAGAACATCGGGGCTTCAGTACGAGGTTCTTTTTGTCTCACTATTATCTACACCTATATAAAGTTTATTACAGCCATTGGTATTGTTAGCCTGGCCATATGCCTCGCGATAAGAGAAGAAAGGCCATTCGGTAGCGTTCCTTATTACTCTCGCCATGACCGATCTCCTACCTTATGGCTAGCTGTAACCCAATAGCGCTCAATATCCTCGTAGTGCCACGCTTGTATGCTATTGGGGTGGGTGGGTATCGAGGAAAAGGACCGTAAGAATAGAAAGGTCAAAAGGAAGGGTCTGAAAGGATGTCCGTCGTGCAACAATACCATGTGTCTTGTGATGGAAGCTCTCAAAATGGAGAAAAGTGACAACCACACTGCACCGACGAAGTATACCTATCATTTTGATGTAACAGTAACACATCGGGTTTGGTTCCGGTGAAACACCCAGTATAAGTGGCTGGCGCATTGCTAATATAAAGTTACTTTTCGACTGCGACGACCCCGTGGGCTGCTCCAGCGTAAGTACCGGTGTCGCCGGCGGCCGGGAAGGCGGAGGTCGCCGGTCGCCCTCTCGCTCCCTCTGATGGATGTCTTGTTGTGCTGCGGTGCCGAGTTACCGTGCGCCGCCAGACGCCTACCCACTGCGGGGGAGCGGCCACGCTGCAGGCGCCTCGTCAAAACAGCCGCCTTTGTGCAGCAATCACAGAGGCCAGGCGTGTCATACACACACGGCACACCATGACAACGTCAGTCATTCAAACGCAAATCACAAGATGCTTATCTTTCTTTTCTTCGGCTACACATTTTGAATCTGGAAGACGCATCGCATACCTGATTTGTATGCGTAGTGCTTATCGCTATAGACACTACATTATATTGAAAAAAGTTGCAATTTGATAACGATACGATAGAGATGACTATAATATAATTGTGTAATTAAAGAACATCTTCATTTTATTATCTGCACACGGTTGACCATATTTGTAGCCCTCTTGGGTGAAGTTTTTCGTGTTCTCAGCGTCCTCACGTTCAGAGAGAAAATGTTTCTTACCTGTCTCTGACCATCAAATCCCACGTGACGATCGTGCTCCGGAAGAGAAAGAGAGAAATATCAAAGCCTGGGAGAAGGCGAGAGTGACAAATCGACCGAGCCGGAAATGAGTTTTGTTCAGCACGCCGCTCCTCGTGGGTTACCACTTCGTGCTGCTAGATAGACTGGGGAGCAGCTTCATATCCCGTGCGACTATTATCGCGTGAGGCTCTTCGTTTCTGCTTTCCTCATCAAGCTTCTACCGAACAGTAATAAGCTTTTCTATCAGCTCTTCCATCAGCTTCCAGCCTCCTCCGCTAACGGCACTTGGTACAACTGCAGCGCAGCTCGAAGCTGGGGACCACACAGCAAGCAGGGAGGTTCTCTGGGATGATCCTAAGCACCCGTTGTGCCGTGTTAATGACCCATTATCGTAAACCGCAGCGGCGGAGAGCGCCCGGTGCAGCAGAGACTACTACGCAGGAGAAAGGTGATCGGCCCCCGCTGGTCTAATTTGTCAGTTCACGCAGAGCCACGCACGAGCTCAGCGACTGTGCCAGACGCGTTGACCCGCGGGTCAAACGTGCCCCCGGGCGCCCTCTCGCTTTCGGCGGCGTACGCGGCCGTGCCGACCCGCGTGACCTGGCGTCCACGGCCGCGCTGACCCCTGACCCCGTCTGACGGCGGCGTGTCGTCCACGGAGCCCGCGGCGCCGCTCCGTGAAGGTGCAGACAGCTCCGTGACGGCTGAGGGCACTCAAAGGCGCCGCGGGGCGCCCTTTGTTTGGGTTAACGGCTCAGGGGACGGTTGAGCACCACCTGTCTACAAACCTATCGTGATGTGCGAGATGTGCTTTGCGGTTGAGATGGTCATTAAAAGTGTTGACGGTCAAAGGCGCTCAAAGCGTCAGGTTAAATAGAAAAGTCTCTGCGGTTATCGTGAGATGATTGGCTGTTGACTTGAAATAAATCGACTTGGTGCATAAATCGACTGTAAATATAAATATGCTTCCTAAGTTCCTATGTTGAACCAACGTATGTTGACTCTAAGCATTAAATCAACGTGTCTCATTGACCCACGATTCACAACGAACTCACAACACATTCTCCTACAACGAATGGCACTAACAAGTAACAAGCTTGGTTACCACCGCATCCTTCGAAGTGCTCGCTTCTCAGAGTTGTTTGTGAGCCACAAATTCACTGAAACTGAGCCGCCCTCTGCAGCATTTGTAACTTCTTGCCGGTTGTTTGATAGCTGGTACTGTCTGTTTGGGATTGGGACGTTTCCAACTCGTGCTTACAGATGTGTACCGAATTTATCGAACCACTTCAGACACAAGACCACAAAAAGTGAGTGAAAACAACACAATTTCAGCACCCAGTTACTTCTAAGCTTGCGTCAGCCCGCCACCAAGCTACTTGGCATTGTCGCCAGCTTTTGCTGTGCCGGGAACTTCCACGGTTCTGTTTAGCCGTCTCAGTGTAGATGAATTGCACCAGGTACCTAGCAAACTATCGGGCTGGCTGAATCTGTTGAAGAGAGACAGAGGAATGCAGCTAAGCCTCGCATTGCAGTAGTTTTTATTTTCTGGCAGATTTTAACCGACAATTTCCTTAATTAAAGTTAAAGTGTGAAATGCTCAGCATGCACGAGGAGAGGTATTTCAAGGAGACGGGGTTGTGTCTGTGAAAGTAATGTTAACCCGCGCACTAAAACTGGGTCGGTGCTTGTCACCCGCTCAGCTGATGATGACTATTAGATGCACCATGAATGTGATGAATAAATTTGGTCCGGGAAATTACCTCTCAGCTGCTCGTGGCTGTTTGAAAGCGTAATTTATAAAACATGCCGCCCATTAAACAAATCACCTCTTACTCTAGGCCATGTCAATTTTGTGGCGAATTCTCGTGAATAAGGACGACGTATGCCTCCTGGCAGCAGGTCAGGATGGTTACCTCAGTCGCGTCGGTAGCGGGCGTCACTGCGCGATCGACTGGGAACGGGCGCCGGCCGCCGCGTGGGAGCGCCTCAGAGGGTCTGATGGAGTCCACCGCCAGCTGTCAGTGTCGGGAGCGGAGCTGCTGCTCGGCAGCGGGCTCTGCAGCGCCCGGGGCGGGCCCGCCACCGATCACAAAAACCGTGATCGACTGCCTGTCTCCCGTCTTTTTACATCCCCCTCACCGCCGTTTTCCTACTATCTTCGCTGAGTGTTTTCCTCCTCACAACTCATGCTCCCATCTTTTAGATATCGGGGTTGCCCGCCTTGTTTCTGAGCTCTGCACCTGCCAATTATTTTGTTCTTGTTACAGTCACCCCTCTCACTTGCTCATTCGTTGTTAACCCTTCACCATAACCCCTTCTCTCACTGCTCGTCTCTCTAATTATGCCTCGTAGCTTCATGCAAATAAGTTACGCTGCTGCTTGTAACCAGTAACTTTCTGTGAACAATACCTACCGTGGAAGAGACCGCTGAGGAACCGCGATTCGCTTCACTCAGCTGACCGACCACAAATAAAGAGCAGTGGAAATGACAGCGTAATACCAGGACTTATCGGCCAATTGGTATGAGTCGCGCCTCACTGGGTTTTGTAGAGGGAGGGTTTTTGTGCTGCTCAAGAATGGTGCCCAGTTTTGTGTGACTAATTATGCTACAAAGCCTACCATTAGACAATAATGGCTTACCCAGCCGACAAGAAAGGAAGGGTTAATAACCGAATCCAGTGAAGTCCACCCAATCGCTCACTTGTGCATTCTTAGCTTGGTATAATGATAGGCGGTTAACAAGTCAGCCCGCTTCCGAGCGCTCCGGTTAGATCTCCGACTCATTCTGACCTGGTAACGACAGTCAGAGCTGCTTGGTCTTTGCTCTGCAGTAACTCCCCCAGACGGACACACTCCTCAGACCAGCGCTTGTTTATACAGCCCTGCAAAGGCCGCCGCGTGTCCGACTTATCCTCTGATATGTTCCGTTTCCTTGGCCTGCAGCCGTCCTCGTTTTTTTTCCTTGTGAAGAAAGCAGCGGGATCTGCTGTCGTTGCACATTTTGCAGTGCTCAGAACCTGGTCACCTCCATCTCTGTTCTGTCACAGCGTTGCGCTCGTGAACAGTTTTGTGTGACATCTGGTCACCATCAGTTTGGTGCAAGCCGGCACTCCCAAACCAACGATCGTCTGCCGCTGCGTGGGACGGTGGAGATCGTCCAACAAGTCCGACTTCTACCAGTCATTAGACACTGATCCGCGGTGCTCTGAGGCGTCGCAGCTTGCGCGGTACATGCTGTGTTCTTGCGCTAAGCCCGTAGCGTGTTTACTCCAGCGGGGCTTTTCTGGGGCGGCTGGCGCACGCCTGCAGTCCGAGTGCCGTGCAGTTCCGGCTCGTTGCCGCTGAGTCTGTTCACCGTTATCTCTGGGCGGCGCCGGGACTGATACCGCAGGCCAGCTCATACAGCGCCACAGCGGCCACCCCCGGCGCCGAACAACACCCACTGACACCCACTGACATCACCTGACCTTGGGCCCTGAGGGCACTGTGCCGGCCTTTTGTCCGGGGCCCACCCCTCCCCGGACCCTGCCGCCGTTACTGCTAATGCTGACACCTCGGTATAGTGCGGCGGGTCATGTGCTCTCTTTGTTGACTTCGGCAGTTTCTGTATGGTGTACGGATGGCAGAGGAACTGACCGGCACGCGTCTGTTTCCCCACAGGGACGCTCACAGCAGAGGACACTCAGCGAGGACCCCGACATGGGCCCGGATGACGTCATCATCGACAGCAGTGTCCCTCATGTGAGTACCTACTCAGGCTAGCTACTTACAGGTGTACGAGTAGTGTCGGTTTGGTGGCCATAGAATATGATGCTGTACCGCCACAGCAAAATACCTACCTTAACCTATATAATTATATCAAAGGGAAGACCACGCTACATAAAATCGATTCCCAGAACACAGCTAAAAAATAGATTGTCTACGAATTGTTAACCACTGAACTTACAGGTAGATAACTATGCCTAGGTAGGTACTTCTTATCATCTCGTGTGAATCACTCCCTCAAGCAGCTCATTAGGGCTATCGCTGGAGATTCATGTTTTATGTTCTCGTTAACGTCATTTCAATGTCTCAAAGAGCAGCGGACACGTGTTGACTTCAACACTACCGGTCATCAAGGCAGCATTTCCTTGTCTCTATGCGACAGGGAAACGCAGTTCCATCACGTCAGCACGGCAACACTAGCGTCCACTATACATGACTCCATGTTGGAAATACCACCCGGGAACTGAGAACTCAATCACGCACTACCGGCGGCAGTGACGGCACCAGCTGACCGATAGGACATAACTGGAGCGCGAGCATTGATGTGCCGCCTTTCCTCATATTTATAATGCCTTTTTTTACTTGTAGAATGATATTAGTCACTCGTTTTTCACCATAATTCTGAACGGGCCTTGTGAGGTCATTTGGGCTGATAGGTAAAGCGAACGAGATAAAATTTATCTGTGTATGTATGGCCTGTTTTTCTACTTACAAATCAAGAACACATCGCTACCGTCATGCCTATTTATTATTGGATATTTTACAAAAAAATGTCACTTTTATCGCTTACACTAAACTGCGAGCATAGCTGTTACCTTGAACTCCGACTAAACCAAATTACCGCTTCCTGGTCTGCCGCATGGCTACTGATTTCCACCAGGAAGGCACGGGCACTGTATCACTGCACAACATTAAAAGCCCGCTCATTTAATCTTCCTTAGCGTCTCCCGCGTCATCTGGTAGCCCGCGGCGGCGTTGCTTTCAGATCTGCCAGCTCGTTTGGTCATTGTGACGTCATCAGGACGTGACGTGGCATCACGCCTGATTGCCGGGGGCTGCGGTTGGTCATATTAAGATCATGATAAAGCCGTGCTATGTATCATGGGCTTCATGGTGCCGAGAAGAAAGCTAACACGAGTTGTTTGATTGTTGCCAAGATGCAGCCAGACGGCGCTTGGTGAATGAGAGTGATGCAATACATAGCCACTGCGTTAATTAATTATCCAACTAGATGGCATGTTTTGCGCTATAACTGTGCGTTTTGATAGATGCGTTTGAGGGGGCATTAGTTTCGGTGTGGGAACTTTTGATTTTTATTTGTCTTATTTTGTCGGAGTTGGATATTTGTTTGAACGGCATGGTATGCTGGTGCTGGTTGCGGGTTGTTAGAGCCTTTCTCATGGTTTGCCTTCATCGAACTCAAACCCACCCTACCCTACCCTAAACTACCCATACGCTACCTTACTCATAACCTACATGTAGTTACCCTTCTCATACTCGATTAAAGTAGTGTACCAAATTTGAGCGCAATCGGCCCAGCCGTTCTTGAGATATAAAAGCGGCCCGCTGCACGTGCGCACGCGCTGAGACTCTAGATGACTTGTGCCAGCCACCCTTCTAAATTGTTCCTAACGGTGTACAAAATTTGAGCGAAATCGGCCCAGCCGTTCTTGAGATGTATAAGTGGACCCCTCACGTGCGCACGTGCAATCGATCCACCCTACCTGTCACACATGACCATGCATCGCCAGATGAGTGCCCCCTCCACCCACAGTCCAAGTTTCAACGCAATCGGCCCAGTAGCAGCTGAGTTATTCCTAGTACAAAAATGTGCTGTTTACTGGTAGGCGCTTATTTTCAGTGTTTGGAATTCCCCTTGTCGGGCGGTGTATTGCAGCCCATGCTTTGATAGCTATTGTCAAAAGTTGAATGATTTGCCGGCCATAAGCCATCGATCGGATTTCGTCGAAAAATACCGGTAACGTTAACAAAACACGGTCACATGCTTGAGTCATTTTCACAAAAGTTTATTGACTCTTCGATAATATTTTGGGTGGATATTGGTCAGAAAAGCATGCTCTTTCCGAATATATAGGTTTTATAGCGATTGATCAGCGTTTTCAATACGTTTTGATGTTGTAAAGGACGTCGCGCTCCGCGCGAATCAAATTTTCAAATTAATTTTTCATTATTAAGGAAATGGTACGGATCATCACATTTTATTTGCTTTCCTCTGATTACACGTACATTTGTCTGTAAAATGATACAACACCGATTTCATTCCGTCAAGCCGTTTTTCAGCGGCATCGATTTTCCCGTCACAATGCACGAAATCGGTCATTTTTTCACAACCGGGGGTGCTGTCTTGCACGTGGCGCATGCTATACTATGAAACCATATCAATACGCTAGGCCCATCTCTCCTCTATCCAGTGGTGGCAACCCCACCTCGCTACGGCAATCTGTCGCCGAGTTTTGGGCCCGGGAAGTGGGCGCCGCAGGCCGGTTTTCGCCCGATCTTCGATTTGACCGTTTCCCGTGTTAACCCTATGGCGCACGCGAGCGCGTGCTGACGGCGCACCCCTGGTGCGATCTCGCCCAAATTTTAATACAAAGGCCGCCCACGCCCACAGATTTGGCATGCCAAATTTCACGCCGATACGCGGCGCCTTTCAGGCGCAATAAGACACATAAGTCATGACGGATCACGCACGCACAGACATGTTATAATTCATAATATAGACTAGAATACAGGTTTACGCGATAACTGTACGTTTGGATAGATTTTGTTGATGGGGCCATTAGTTTGGTTGTCAAAACTTGAATGTTTATATCAGTAGGGTTGTGTTTGATAGTTGCTTTATTTAATTGTATAGTAGGTAGGTATGTCTTTTCGAGGAGCACTACGGATCCAAAAGTTTGGACATTGAACTATTAGAAAAGCGACACGCCCGCCCGCCGCCAACCGCAAACGCAGCAAAAATGAAAAATACGACCGCCTCCAATCGCAAACAACACCGCAAACGGCGCAAAAATGAAAACCGCCCGCATCGCACCCCCGACCGCCGCCAACCGCAAACGCCCCGAAAAAATGAAAACCGCCCGAATCGCGCGCCCGCCCGCCACCAACCACAAACGCCGCAAAAAAATGAAACCGCCCGCATCGCCCGCCCGACCGCCGCCAACCGCAAACGCCTCGAAAAATGAAAACCGCCCGCATCGTGCGCCCGCCCGCCCGCCGCCAACCGCAAACGCCACAAAAATGAAAATCGCCCGCCTCCAACCACAAACAACACCACAAACGCCGCAAAAATAAAAACCGCCCGCATCGCGCGCCCGCCCGCCGCCAACCGCAAACGGCGCAAAAATGAAAACCGCCCGCATCGCACGCCCGCCCGCCGCCAACCGCAAACGCCTCGAAAAAAACGGCCGCCCGCAGCCAAACGCTAAAACCGCAAAATACGCCAGAAACAAAAAAGCGCCCGCCCGACCCAAAACGCAAAACGCGCAAAAGGCACGCGCGAAACGCCAACGCAAACGTCGCAATAAGTTAAAACAAACAAAAAATCGCTCCCCCGTCGCAAACCGCAAACAACGCAAAAACGCCGCAAACAAATCAAAACCGCCCGCATCGCCCGCCCGCCCGCCGCCAAACACAAACACCGCCGCAAAAAAACGCCCGCATCGCACGCCTGCCCGCCGCTAACCGCAAAACGCCGCAAAAAAACGGCCGCCTGCCGACAAACGCAAACACCGCAAAAACGCAAACACCGCCGCAAAAAACGCTCGCATCGCACGCCTGCCCGCAGCCAACCGCAAAACGCCGCAAACGCCGCAACAAAGGAAACCACCCGCATCGCAGCCTAACCGCCGCCAATCGTAAAAGCCGGAAAAGGCCCTACCCTACCCTACCAATATACATACCCTACCCATACCCTAGTCCTACCCATACCCTACCCATACCCTACCCTACGTTTACCTTATACCCTACCATACCCAACTTTAACCTAGCATACCCAACTTTACCCTTCCCTACCCAAACGGCAAACCTACCTCTACCCTATACCTTACCATACCCATACTTAACCCTACCCATACATGTATCCTATACACTACCCATACAATAACCTACCCTACCCTACCCATACGTACCCTATCCTACCCTACCCTACCCTACCCTACCCAAAGCCTACTTTACCCATACCCTACCCTTCCCATACCGTACCCTACCTATACCCGGCATACTCATGCCCTACTCATCCTTGGCCGAGGAGTTTTACCAAATTTGAGTGCTATCGTCCTACCTGTTCTTGAGATATATAAATGGGCTCCTGCACGTGCGCACGCGCTTAATAAACTCCAGATGACTTATGTCAGCCACCTGTCTAAATTGTCCCCAAAAGTGTACAAAATTTGAGTGAAATCGACCTAGGGATTCATCAGATGTAGAAACGGACCCCCTCACGTGCGCACGTGCATGAGTCCACCCCACCTGTGACACATGGCCCTACATCGCTTGGTGAGTGCCCTGCCTGCCGACAGTCCAAGTTTCAGCGCAATCGGCCCAGAAACGACTGAGTTATATGCAAGTACAATTTTCAAGGGTTTGGCGATATCCTTAAGCCGGCGGTGCCTTGTAGCCTATGCCGTGCTGACTGATTGGCAAAAGTTTAATGACATGCCGGCTATGCCATCGATCGGATTTCATCGGAAAATATGTCTAACGTTAACAAAACACGGTGGCATGCCTGAGTCATTTTCACGGAAGTTTATTGACTTTTTGATAATATTTTGGGTGGATATTGATGAGAAAAGAATGCGCTATCCGAATATGTGTGTTTCATGGCCAATTTTCAACGTTTTCAATACGTTATCGTGTTGTAAACGACAGCGCACTCGGCGCGCATCAACCTTTCAAATGAATTTTACATTATTAAGGAAATGGTAGACATAATCACTTCTTGTTTACCATCATCC